GGCACAGCGTCGCAGGACGTGGGCTCCTTGAGTCGAGAAATGTCAGTCGGCTTCCATCCTTGATGTTGAGGACGCCACATCGTCCATGTATGCCCCACCCCCGTGGGCCATGTCCTGCTGGCCCTGATCTCATTGACGGACGGCGGTCTGAAAGGTGCCAAGGCAATTCAAGTGGTCGAAACGAATGCTGGTATCGAGTCGCACCACGCACAACACTTGGGGCATTCCTCGCCAAGGGAGTGCAAGGGACCCTGCCCCCCCTCGTTTTAACCCGATGGGGGAGCACGCGCCGCCCATGCCACCACGACTCTGGTGCGTCGGACTCAGCGCAACAACGCCCCGATTGAGTTTGTGCTCACGCGGTTTCGTGGCAGGACGGGAACGACTCTCGATCGCGTGGTGCTTGCAACGTTGTCCATGCTGAGCCATCGTGATTGCTTTGTCTCTCGTGGCCACTGGCGCAATTTTCCGCAACTCGTTACAGACTCCGTCGAGCCCTTTCGTAAACCCACGTCGTCGAGCAAACCAACAAGCGTTTACCCTACTTAGGCTACAGACGACGACTGGCTGGGCCATACATGCGACGGACTCACTTCAACACACATCAATATCGAGCCGGCAGTCGCTGCGACGCATCGACGACGTCGGGTCGATCTCGGCATTCACTGTGCGGAGATATGAGAAGGGAGTAGTTGGTGCCGGGGGGGCGGACGTAGCCGCTTCGGACATTGTCCAACGGCGGAAACATGGGCAAGCGGTCGGCGAGGTCCGCCGGAACGAGTTGGGCAATGCCCAAGTCGATGCTCAAGTCGTCAATGTGGTATACCCCTAGCCAAAGGCCGTCACATGAACATGGTAACACGGGCCGCCGCATGCACACCGAGCTCACGCAGCACCAACGGATGCGCTTTCGCCCACGGCGTGTTGTTGGTCAGATTCGCCCGCAACCACCGCACAATCGGTGCCGTCACAACGATCTGTCCGCCGCACCCAATCTCGCTCACTTCCCGCCCGATCAACTCGGACAACCCGACGTACATGGTCCGGCCTGTGACCGGATGCACTTGGTTGACTAGTTCGCCTTCCGCGGGGGTCGACGCGTGGATGCCCATGCGGACGCGGACGCCGTGAAATATCAACTTCGGACGCTTGAGCAGAAATGGTTGCGTCGTGATCGTAGCGCTTCCCGGCATCTGGCAAGTCGCGAGGGATGGCGGCCACGGCTGCAGTAGCAGCTGCTCTTGGACGTCCAAGCAGTACGCGACCGCGTCGGGAATGTTGTGGAAGGCCAGCTGAAACGCATCGCCGGCCGTCGTGATCTCGTACCCGCGGTGCGGGACCAGCAGCGCGCGCAGGAGGTTGTCATGGATGTCTTGGGCATCGTGCATGGCGTTGCCGAGGGTCCCCCACAGTGCGCTGGACGACTCGATGTCCGTGTTGACAAACACGGGAAAGTCCGTCGGCGCTTCGTTCGCTTGGATTTGCTGGATCACGTCTTCCGACACCATGCACCACGACATCACACAGCGCTGGTTCGCCACCAACACAAGCGCGAGCGCGACCGGTGACAGAAAGAAGAGCAGATTGCTCGTGATAAGGATCCAGTTTGGAACGAATTCCAGGCTCGTCTCGCGGGACGTCGGCCGCACGGCCAGTGTCCATCCCACGCCAAAGTACGGGATCGCCGTCACGTCGTAGATGAGTCTGTGTCGTCGTCACTCGAGTGCAGCCACGTGGTCAAATGACGTACAAGATGAGCTTGAGCCGAATGTAGAGCGGCTTCTGGACAATGCGGCACTCGACGCTCTCGAGTTTTTGGCCCGTGCAGTTCATGTACAAGACTCTAACCACAGCAGCTCGTGGATGACGGGGGACATCAGAGTCAGCGTACCCGAGGGTGACGGCGACTATCACGACGCTCTGCGCCACAGACGACGCCACGAGAAACGAGCGGAACCGAGACGAGTAGAACGACGGGTCGTTTGCCTCGGGGAACGCAAAGCTCACCTAGCACACGACGCCATGACGAGTCGAGACCGCGGGACGCCAACGTACGGCCAAGTACACCATCACCAAGATGGCATTGATGTACGTGTAATACCGCACAAACACCTTCTCGAGGCGCGCACCGCGGTCGACGGTCGTTTTCTGGGTGGCATGTCACGAACGAGAACGGTGGGATGTGGACAGAGTACCACGAGGCGGAGGAGTTCAACGACGAGGATGAGCATCCAGTACGCTCCAGAGAGCAGAGCTGTGTCGCCGACAAAGAGACCGATCTTGATGGCGATGGGCGGTTCGTCCAGGAGGGCGTTGTCGGCATTGCCAACGTCTTGCCCGATAAAGCGAACGCCGCCAATGTCGTGGTCTTCATCCAACGCAAACCACGTGGACGTCTTGCCGACGAACTGGTTCATGATGGCTCCGATGATGAGAATGCGGCACCCAGAGTAAATGGATTTCCAGATGAAGAAGTGGAGCATCGCCGAGCACACGCAGGACGAGACCAGTTTCGAGTACTTGTGCAGCGTCCACGACGCCGCGGCCGACGCGACAAGGCTGACATCTATCAAGATTGCGTACAAGAGGCTCCACGCAGGGAACGGGTACGCATCCTCGTCAAGCGCCGAAATCGCGGCTCGTGGCATGCCGATCCACGAAACGGTGTCGCCGCCGCCAACCTCGTTCGCCGTCGGATCCACCGCGACGCTTCAATTGGTTCGCGGAATCGGCAACTTGGATCTGATTGGACGACAGCCGCCTAACGGTTCCAACCAATTCGGCAGGAGGCGGGCGCCGCGGACAGTCGGCGATGGCTGCGCCCGGTGAGCGCAGCCGTGGATGTGTCGGCAAGCCGAGGGCGATGGGCGACGAGCCATCCTCGTTTCGCCGGCATCGTCGCGGGAACGTGTCGGCACGTTGCGCCCATTACACACAGCATAGCACCTAGCGTGTCGCAGGCACGTCCGCCGGCAAGTTCGACGGGTTGCCGGTTCGACGCTGGGAGGCGCCACGTCCCCGCGACGTTGACAGGAAGCCTTGTCCATGCCATATGTATATTGCTCCATTAAATTAAGTGACTGGACAAACGTCATAAGGTCGATCCTTTGGGCGAGATCAGCAGCTCGTAGTTGTTGCTCGGTCGACTCGTAAACTCGATCGGGCGTTCGACGTTTTCCAGCGGCGGAAACATCGCGAGGCGGGGCTGGAGGTCCAACGGGACGACTTGGGCCAGCCCCAAGTCGATCTTCAGGTCCTCGATGTGGTACACACCTGGCATCACACGTCCGTCAGAGGCCATCGCGATCGACTATGCCACCGTACCTAGCTCTTGCACGACGCATGGGTTCGCGACCGTCCACGGCGTGTTCGTCGCTTGGTTTACCCTGAGCCACTGGACAATCGGCGCCGTCACAATGATTTGGCCGCCATGGCCAATGTCGCTCACTTCGCGCCCGATCAACTCGGACAACCCGACGTACATCATTCGTCCCGTGACCGGATGCACTTGGTTGACTAGATCGCCTTCCGCGGGGGTCGACGCGTGGATGCCCATGCGGACGCGGACGCCGTGAAACAGGACCTTGGGCCGCTTCAGCATCGATTGCTGCGTTGTGATCGTGGCGCTGCCGGGCATTTGGCAGTCGACAAATGCCGGTGGCCACGGCTGCAGAAGCAGCTGCTCTTGGACGTCCAAGCAGTACGCGACCGCGTCCGCAATGTTATGGAACGCTAGCTGAAACGCATCGCCGGCCGTCGTGATCTCGTACCCGTGGTGCGGGACCAGCAGCGCGCGGAGGAGGTTGTCGTGGATGTCTTGGGCCTCGTGCATCACGCTTCCCAGCGCCCCCCACAGTGCGCTGGACGACTCGATGTCCGTGTTGACAAACACGGGAAAGTCCGTCGGCGCTTCGTTCGCTTGGATTTGCTGGATCACATCGTCCGACACCATGCACCACGACAGCATGCATCGCTGGTTGGCCACCAAGACAAAGGCCAGGGCGATCGGGGCAGCAAAGAAGAGGATGTTGCTCAGTGCCAGGATTTCGTTCGGGATGTCCGTGATGAAGTTGAGGACAGACTCGGGGTATATGGCGAGGACCCACCCGATGGCAACGTATGGCAATGCCGTCAAAACATAAATCAAGCTAGTCTGGGGGTTAGACCGATGCACGCCACGGGGACGGGAGCGTCGTACAAGATGCGCTTGAGGCGAATGTACAGCGGCTTCTGAACAATGCGGCACTCGACGCATTCGAGCTGAAGGCCCGCCGAGTTGAGATAGATCACTCTAAAAGATCCGTCGGTATCGATAAACACACGACAGATCATGGCTTACGCGCTTGCGACGGCCAGAATCACGGCCGTGTGCACGAGGCACGACGCAATGAGTGTGCTGCGGAAGCGCGCATGGTAAAAGCGCGACCCTTCAATCTCTTTCAGCTTTTCCGTCGACGACGTGGCAAAACTGCACTGCGCACACAACGATCAGGTCCGTCTGGAAAAGGCCGGATCAAACGGACCGCAATGTACGACAGCACGATCCCGATATTCACAGCCAAGTACACGCGCAGCATGAGCCTTTCCGCCCTGGCGCCGCGGTCGACGGTCGTTTTCTGCAGGAAAATGTCACCGTCGTGCTTGGGGGTCCGTGCAGGACGTACCACGAGCCGCAGCAGTTCGATGACAAGCACAAGCATCCAGAACGCCCCCGAGATGAGCGCCGTGTCTCCAATAAACAACGGGATCTTGATGTGGTACGGCGGCGACTGCAGTTGCTTGGTCTCGACGTCGACTTCGTGGCCGATGAGGCGGAACCCGCCGACGTCGTGGTTTTCGTCCAGCGTCATCCATGCCGACGTGTTGAGGAGGAACTCGTGGATCATGCTCGCCAGCGTGATCATGCGGAAGAACGTGCACACGGCTTCCCACGCGAAAAAGTTGAGCATCGCGTAGCACACGCACGACGATACGAGCTTGGTGTACTTGAACAGGGTCCACGACGCGGTCGCGGACGCCACGAACGCCAGCAGCATGAACGTCGCGTACGCGACGCAGTACATCGGAAACCCATACGTGCCCTCGACGTCTGGCCCTGCCATGATATGCAAGATGCCACGGCGGCAAGTCCCTCCCGTGCTGCGACACGCGGTGTCATCCGTTTCGCAACTGTTGTGTCGACAATTGCACAGGTGTCAAATGTCCTCGTTTTGGATGAAATCGGACTATCTAGAAATACAATGCTCCGTGTTGCAAGTACAACGTCACCAGTATTGTCCGTCGGCACGCTGGTCGGAACACCATGGCGCACGACGTCGGCAAACGGCATCGCGCGATGTACACGTCCCATGCTATTTCGTTGCACGTGAAAAATACGAGTCGCTCCGGTCATGTAGGCGACGTGGAGTCGACTCTTCAAAGCATTACCCAATTGTGTACTATAAAGACGGAACGAACGCCAGATTTGTCCTCGGGAGACGGAAAGTTTGGCACCCAAAATGGCCATCCGGTGGTCCCGTGCACATGTGGAAAGCGATAAATAAGTTTGTTGGGGGGGACTTAAGCGGCCGTCGACGAAGCGCCCGAGTCGTTTGCGGTCTCTTTCGGCGAGATCAGGAGGTCGTAATTGTTACTCAGGCGGGGGCAGTACGTGAGCATCGTTTGGACTTTGGAGGGTGGCGGGATGAGGGCGAGGCGGCCGGTCAAACTGGCCGGAACGACTTGGGCGATCCCGAGGTCGATCTTGAGGTCAGCCACGCGATGGACGCCTATACACCGACGTCGTCAGCGTCGACTTCGACGGGTCGGCCATACCTAGTTCTTGCAGCACGAGGCGATGCGCCTTGGCCCATGCCGTCCCATTCATAACATTCGCTCGCACCCACTGGACAATCGGCGCCGTCACAATGATTTGGCCGCCATGGCCAATGTCGGTGACTTCCCGCCCGATCAACTCGGACAACCCGACGTATGCCACACGTCCCGTAACAGGGTGGACGTGGTGGACCAGCGCGCCTTCGGCCGGATTTGACGCGTGGATGCCCATGCGGACGCGGACGCCGTGAAACAGGACCTTGGGCCGCTTCAGCATCGATTGCTGCGTTGTGATCGTGGCGCTGCCGGGCATTTGGCAGTCGACAAATGCCGGTGGCCACGGCTGCAGTAGCAGCTGCTCTTGGACGTCCAAGCAGTACGCGACCGCGTCCGCAATGTTATGGAACGCTAGCTGAAACGCATCGCCGGCCGTCGTGATCTCGTACCCGTGGTGCGGGACCAGCAACGTGCGCAGGAGGTTGTCATGTATGTCGTGAGCATCGTGCATCACGCTTCCCAACGCCCCCCACAGTGCGCTGGACGACTCGATGTCCGTGTTGACAAACACGGGAAAGTCCGTCGGCGCTTCGTTCGCTTGGATTTGCTGGATCACATCGTCCGACACCATGCACCACGACAGCATGCATCGCTGGTTCGCCACCAAGACAAAGGCCAGGGCGAATCCGGACGCTGCGTACAGCGCGGATGACAAGATGGTGAGCTCGTCCGGCACGAGGTCCATGTACCCGTACGCCTTGCCGACCACGACCCAGCTAAAGGTCAGGTATGGCACGGTGCATGCCACATATACGACGCTAGACGCGTGTGAGTGTCGGCCCGCATGGGCATTCACTTACAGGATGCGCTTCAGGCGCTTGTACAGCGGAGACTGGACGACCCTGCATTCGACGCTCTCCAAGTTGAGCCCAGTGCGGTTCAGGTAAAACACACTACAATACGGTGACATGGCGACGCGACGTGATGCGCGCGTGTACCCAAAGGACACGACAACGATGACGAGGGATTGCACCGATGCGGCCGCGATCAAAACAGCTTCAAATCGGTCCGAGTAGAATGCTTCCCCCGCGCTTTGGTGAATTCGTCGGCCCGGGCCTTGGTCCATCGAGATGAACAATTGCGCCTGTTGTCGCCGTGTGGAGCCGATCGTCGACAGAACGGACACGTACCAAGAAGTACGTGACGACGGCGAAGAGGTTGAGGCACAGGTATAAGCAATGCATTCGCTTTTCCGCGACTGCGCCGCGATCCACGGTTGTTTTCTACGGCGATATGTGGTGAGCGGCGGCCCAGCAACGAGGACGACGCACCACAAGACGTAGCAGCTCCATCACGAGGACGAGCATCCACAGACAACTAGATAGCAACGCCGCATCGCCGATGAAGAGCGCGACTTTGACGGTCACGGGGGGTTGCTGCAAACTGGTGGGGTTGTCGTGGTTCAGGAACGTTTCGTTGCCCAGGAGACGGAACCCGCCGACGTCGTGCGCCTCGTCCAGCATTAGCCATGTCGAATTCCCACGGAGGAACTCTCTCACAGAACTTGCAAGGACCAAGATGCGGCAAAACGAGTACGCGGACTTGCACACAAAGTACCAAAACATGGCGTAGCACACACAGGACGTGATGGCCTTGGTCGACCGGAGCAGGGTGGCGGATGCCGATATGCATGACATGAACGAGACGCAGAAGATGATCGTGTACAGGAAGCTCCATGTTGGGAACCCGTACGGTGGTTCCGCATCGTCGGCCATCCCGCCGTGTCGGAAATGGCAGTGCATTGCGCGTCCGAATTTTTTAGCCAATCAGGATTCAGATATCAATGCAGTAGCCAATCAGAATCCACGTGGAGAACCCGTCGCAAGTCCATCTGAGTTCGATCTGGTCTCTCAAACTCGATCCTTGGTCTCCCATGAATGCCATCCTCCGACGTCCGCTGTGTGGATGCCGACTCGACGGCGCGCTTCGCTCCTCACAGGGCGCACGGGAGTATACGTCACGGGCACGGTGGGGCCGGTGGGATTATGTGCACCGTGCCCCAACGGCGTGATGTGAAAAATCCTCCAACAATTGAATTCTGGTTTCTGTCTTCGGACAAATTCTTTGTTGCTCGCGTGCACTCGATGGCGGTTCAGACCGGCTCAGCGGCGCCATTCTGCATTCCTCTGCGCGAAGAGGGCGCACCTAGATGCAGCGAGGCCAGCTCCAGCGTCGACATCGCTGCGACATGTGCCCGTGTCTCATGCGACAATTTGGCAAGTAGGAATTCCGGATACCATGGACATTCCGGATAAATGAGATCTTGGGCCGAAGGGGTTTTCTGACGCTGCGGTCATGGTTGCGGCGCGTGATGCGGCGTGCGGGATCGCAACGCTGTTCGTATTGGTGTTTGTCGGGTCGCTGGTAGCAGTAGCTCCTCGTGATGCACTCTCACGAGTGCTTTAGGCTGTGCAAGTGGCCCTCAATGTCCTGATCCACAAACTCGAACGATGTAAGTCCATCGCACGACGGCGGGGGACGCGATGGTGACAGCCAAACGGTAGTGTTCACTGGCATCTCGATCGACCCGACGATGACAGCGACCATTCGCATGCATCCCGTCCGCATCAAGCTATGGGGACGCTTTGTCAAGTTCTTCCAAGCGCCACGTCAAGAAAACGTCGTGTCCATCGTGCTGTCGAGTGTTGAAGTCCACGTGACCAAACACCACGCCACATCGTCGCATGCCGAGTTGGGACCACCCAAACCACCATTGGATCTTGTTGGCCTTGCCAAATTGGCATCTTCGGACCATCCGCTTTGGGCTCAAGTGCTTCCCATTGTCCATCGCTTCGCCTTTCTCGTTCGATTCGTCCACCTTGTCAAGGTGTCCATCGCAAACGTCTCCATCGAACTTCACGACGGCCACAACGAGAAAGTCGGCGCCGTGACGGTACGCAACGAGTGAGCATCCTTCCGTCGAGAGTCTCAGACTGCTCCACCTTTCACGTAGGATGCAAGTGTCGATTTTCAAGCGTCCGTCGACCCCGGCACACACAACCTCGTCGTGTCGGTACACGTTTCCCGCGATCGGCCCATGTCGATATCTGCTCCTGCCGCAGGCATCCACGTGAATGTTGACGGCATTGCACTTCATGTGACCATTCCAGTGCCTCCGAACCGCCACGATCGCCGCCTTCCACTCCCGTCGGCCGTGGCCATCTCCTGCGGCTCTGCACACGTTTCGGTCGATGCGCCGTCGTTCGCGGACGCTTTCTTACATTCGTCTGTCGATGCTAACGCCAACTCTTCGGCATCGCAAGCGTCAGAGGTATCGACGGCCCCGATCGCCGTCGACGCTGTCCTTGGGCTCTTGGTGCTGCTGCCTTCGACCATATCCTTGTCATGGCGGTCCGTCACCGCCGCTATCGCCCATCCTTCGTGTCCGACATGTTGTGCCGAGCTACTCAACCTGGCGGCGATTTACACCAACACGTCTCCTAGCCACGGCGTCGCCGTCGACGTGCAAACGATGTCGATCCAGTTGTGCCGTTCAAAGGACGCCAAGCAATGCGTTGTTCAAGTTGGTCCACTGACGGGGTCGCTGGACGCCACCCAACGGGTGACCACCGTCGCTTTGAGAGCGTTTGCAGAGCTCAAGCGTGCTCACGTTGCCTTTTCCGACTGGATCGAGCCATGGATCTCGTTTGCATGGGCTGTGGACGTACCGTCGCCGACGCCGCGGTCGGTCCGATCCACACCTACCATCGTTTCGTCGTTGGAAGTGCATGGCAAGGTGACGAATGTGTCGATTCTCCTGGTGCCGCGGTCAGCGGTGGACGCGGACGACCCGTCTCGGCACTGCCCACCACTCGAGATTCGCGTGGATGACATTTCCGCGAGCTCGTTGCCGCAGGATTCGCTTAACGTGCGGTCGTGCGCCGAGCTGCGCCTGAGCCGCGTCAGTGTCCGAGTTGTCTGTCCAGACAGCAGCGCGACGTCGTCGGCGGTGACGCTCGACTACATGCGGCTGTTTTTGTTTCCGTCGGCATCCATTCTCAACAGTAGCTGCGACGATCCTGCCGAGATTGAACTGGAAGGCGAGTGGCTCGAAGTGCAATACTCGCCGCAGCTGCTTCACGCGCTCGGGGGCGTCGCCCACGTCGTCCTGTTTACGTGTCGCGCGCCGTTGACTCGCGTGTTTGCTCTGCCAAAGGCCAGGGAAGCAACGCCCGCCGTGCCGCCGCAGCGGTCCCTGGACGACATGTTCAGGAAGGAGCCTGTATACCCCCGTGTGAAGTTTCAAGGCCTCGTCAAGCGCATCGTGGCATCGTTTCCTGTAGCTTTGACGGCACACGCGGCGCCGACCATGGAGCAGGTCAGCGTCGACAGCTGGACGATCGACACGGACGCGACGTCCGCGCGGTTCCGTGTGCGCATGCAACAGATCAAGGTCGGCCAGCGGACAAGGGTCAAGCTCAAGCCGTACTTGGTGGTGGGCCACTTTGCCGTCGAAGAGACGCCAGTCGGCGCGTCGGCGGTCGTGGATTTGTACGGCGAAAACGTCGCCGCGACGTGGGACGTGTTGTCGCAAATTCGTGTCCTCAAGGTAGTCCAAGACGTGACCGCCGCCGTGTACCGCATGCTGTTTCAGGTATTCCATAGCTACACGTTGCATGTGGCGCCGCCGCATTCCAAGTTTAGAGCATTTGCGGGTGGTGTGAACCCGAGCATGGACGACATGGCCGCGTACACGGCGATGGTGGCGCACTTGCAAGCGTCGATCAGTTCGTCCGGCGACAAATTGCATCGCTTGTTGATACACAACGTTGCGATCTCGGCCCCAGCCTTGCAACTGGACGTGGCGGTCGGCGTGTTTGGAGGCAGCGACCTGCCCAACTTGTGGAACTTTGCCAGCATTCAAGTGGCATGGCGCACCGACCCGGTCGTGTCCGCGGCAAGTGTATTTGTCCGTCGCACGGTCGGCTCCAGGATGGATCATGTGTTTGGCGAGTACGAAGCCCTTCTCCGGCAGCGGCAAAAGGTGCTGGAAGTGGACTACCCATCGCCGCTATCGGAAGCGCCGGAAGAGACGCTGTGTGTGTCGTTGAGTCAGCTGCGTGTCGTGATTCCGTACGCATGCCTGGAGCGCATCGCGGCCGTCGCAGCCCTCGTCCAGACACAACTGGCAACGCTCGCGACAATTCTGGCACAGACCATGTCCGCGTTTTGGCGACCCCTGCAACAGAACCCGCATTTCTTCCGCTACTTTCTCAAACCCCCGCGACCTTCCAACCCCAAGATCGTCCTGGACGTTCGACAAGTGGAAGTCGCATGGATCGATGATCCCATGGAAGGGTGGCTGGAACAAGTGGCTCCCATCTGGATGAGCACGCTCGTCGAGCAAGAAGGCCGCCGCCAGATCCTGAATGACCAATGGACGGCCCTCCAGGCCACGAATCCGGACCCTGCCGCAACCACCGCTTGGTTCGAATCGAAGCAGGACGAGCTTGCCCAAACGATCGCGGCGAGTTACATTCGCCGATGCCAGCAAATCCAATCATCTCGACAACCCACGACGACGCGACTAACAGTCATGTTGAGCCATATTCATGGGTGGGTGCACCCCATCGTGGACCATGTCCAGCTCATCCGCCGCATGAAGCAAGTCGACCCGGACACGCACGCGTTGCTGCAGCAGCCGCACTGCGTTCGCCCATGTTTCGATCTGCTCGCGGGGGTGTCGCTGCATGTGACGGTCGACACGGTGCACGTCCAGGTGCGTGGCCCGCAGTCCAGTCCTCCGCCCCTACGCGTCGACCAAGTCGCTGTCAAAGGCGACGTCATCGTTGGCCAGCCGACGTCGACGCCTGCATTTCAAGCGTCGCAGCGGATCGAGTTACCCGAGTTCCAACACCTCCAAGTTACGGCGTCCACCATTCCCGTCAAAGTTTTCCACGATGTAGAGATCACCGTCGTGGGTGCTGCCGTGTCGTATAGCCCGCTCTTGCACCCGTCGTTGGTTGGGCTTGCGCTGGATGCGCAGCAGTGCCTGCCGTTCGTCCTGCCTGCCTTGGAATTGCGTACGTCGCCGTACTGGGACATTCTACGCCGTCTCGTCCATGGCAGAGCCACCGTCCGCTGCCGAGACACGACGGTTCGTCTGACTTCCCAGGACGCGGGTGAGTTCATCCTGGTGACAGTGCACACCGTGGATGCTGCGTACACCAAAGGCGCTGTCCGTGTGGATGTCGAGAGAGTGCAGTGCAAAATCGAACCCCATGGCGTCGGCACGATCTTGCAAGTGCCCAAACTGTCGATGGCCATCGCTCTGTCGTGGGGAGAAGACGGTGTCCCAGCTTCCCACTACGTCTACCCTGTAAAGTTTTCATTCTTGGATGCCAACCAAGCCGTCCAAGTGCACATCCAGGACCCTCCCGCTGCCGCCACCAATCCGAGCAAACTGTCCGTCGCGGTGCAGCTGACTGTTGGGACCAACGAACGCAAGGACACAACGTCGGTCGTCGTGTACGGCAGCACCGTTGCGTGGCTCCTCGAGTTTGGACAATGGTACATGCACAAGTTGTCGATTCCACCAGTGTCGGCAAGGCAACGGCGGCGTGGCATGCCGCCCGTCGATCGTGCGGTGCGCTTGGCGGATTTGGCCCACCACATGCATCGCCTCGTCGTCGAATCTGTCCAAGTCGAGCATGGCATCGACCTTGTCGTGTACCATAGCGACAGCAGCCCCATCGGCGTCCGTGTACTGGTGAAGGACGTCTTTGCATCGCTCGCAATGTCGTACGGCATCGTCCGCTCGCTCTCGGACTGCTTTGACCATCACATGGTGGCGGTCGACCCAACGCACTGCGACTGGGCAATCCACGACGTCGTGGCCAACGTCCAGGAGATTCAACTGCGCGTGTGCACGGTCAAGAGCGGCAGCCGTGGCGTCGCCTTTGTCATGCTGCATCAATCGTACGCCGTCATGGAGCCGTCTCGAACGATTCCGCCGTGGGATGACAAAGCCAAGACGATCCGAGAGCAGTTCCATGCGATCCCGATGGAATTTGAAGCAAGTGGCGACGATGGCCGCGAAGGTGCCGACACGTCGCGACCGGTGGAAGCCAAGAGCATCTTGGAGCATTTTGATATCAAGGACGACGTGCACTTGCTCAAGCAACACGCACCCCCGCCGCCGCCACCGCCATCGTCAACTCCCGCCAAGGACAAATGCATGCCGAGGCGACTGTCCACACCGCGTCCTCCATCCACGATGAAATCGGATGCAGCTCCCCAGTCCCCCGAATTGGGATGTTTGTGTTATGTCCTCGTTCATCAGCCACGAATCTTGTTGACGCTGGATACGATCGAAGCGTTGGTCGAGATCGCGCTCGAGTGGTGGGAATTCCTTCAAGCACAGGTCCCGTCCTTGTCAGACATCCCGGTCGCCGTGGTCCGAGAAGTCGAAGCTACGTTGGCTGTCCCAGGTAGGCATCGTCCGAGTAAGCCCATCGCCATGGGTTGAATTGCTAGCGGCACCAGTCGACGAAGCCAACAAAGCCCCGACGAGTCACTTGGAGCACATGCTCGTGCACTCGCCAGTGCCCAAAGTTCGCGTGAGCTCAACGCATGACCTCAGCGCTCAGCTGCGCGCGGCCGACGAACATGCACCGGCTGACGCCGTCCACGCACCGACGGCCGTCATCCAGACGCTGCTTCGCATCAAGGTGTTGGACTTCCAGCTGGCCGTCCAAGACACGGCCCACAAGGTGAGCTGCAGCCCCACTCTCCGTTGTCGGCATCTCTCGTCACGAATGTTGAACAGGGCTCGCTGCTGATTGCGATTCCGTCGGGGTGTGTCGAGCCAGCAGTCGACCTCGAACACAAGTCGGAGCACGTCGACGTGTCCGTGACCGGCGTGTACCTCTATACGTCGTCGCTGGAGGTGGATGTGCGAACCCACCACTGGCTCAAACCCGATGCGGACGCATACTCGAAAGCGTCGACGATGGTGTGGAAGCAGGTGCTCCAGGCGTCGGCCATCGACGGCGCCATTGCCATCACGCACGACGTCCCCAAGCTCCACGAAGTCGACGTCCACATGGCTCGGATCCAAGTCATGGTCGATGTCGAGTGCAAGCAGATCTTGCTTGACATGGGCACGCTGTTTGCCGCTCGAATTCTCGACAAGGTCCGACCTCATGAATGCCTCGACCAGGTCGTGTCGAGTGGGTGTTTACATACCTGGCGTGTGTGATAGCGTGAAAAGCACAAGGCAGCTGCAGACTGCCACCAGCGACCGCCACCGCGCGCCGACTCGAGTGATGCGCTTCTAGCGTCCACGGCACCAGAAGCGCGGTCGTCCGATGTCGTGGCCATGCTGCCCCAGCTCTGGCACAAACGGCGAGCGCTAGGATGGACCATGACGGCGCTGCGATACCAGGAATCGTGTCGCGTTGGGGTGTTGCCGTGTGAGCAGCCTGTCCAAGACAACGTCCAAGCGTATCGGCGGTGGCTGCCGACGCGGCAGACAGCGCCACCAGCCGTGGGTCCGTCGGCGGCACATGCCAACTTGATGTCGTTGGCCCGTGAAGTCGCCGTTCTGTCCGTGGAAATCAATTGTGCATTTGCAGAATACAAAAAGCATAAGCAGGTGCATCCAACCGTGGACCTTCAGTTCGACCTGGAAGCGGCGTCGGTGCTGGTGAAAGGCACGACGTTCGACTTGTTGCGGGTCGAAACGTACGGCGTCGAGTGCAGTTTGTCGCAGTTTGAGGACCAGAGCGGGACGCTGTCGATCACGATTCACGCGTTGTCGGCTGTGAACTTGATGCCGCAGACGCCGCTCCCCGACTTGATTGTGCCCGTGGACAGGAAACCCGCCGAATTTGTCGATGCAGGTCGGTCGTCCACCCTCCGCAATTGCGTCGTTTCAACGACGTGGACCAGGCGGGATTGTTCGTGTGGACGCCGAGATGGCCGCGCCGGTCGCGGACCAACCCGTCGTCCAGCACTTTGAAGTGAACGTTTTGCCGCTGCAAGTGTGCATCACGTACGAGCTCATCTTGCAGCTGTACGCGTTCGCCACGACGCCGGCGCCGCACCTTGACAAGCAGGTGCGATCGCTTGGTGATGGAAGCGCGCTGACCATGCGTGGCGCGACGTAGGAAGAGAAGGTGCGCAGTCAGTTCTTGCAGTACACGGCCAAGAGCAGCAAGAAGGTCGCGCGGCTGTCCCATGCGGGCGGGGACTCGGCATGCGCTGGTCACGTGGATGACGCTGACGTGGTCGCGACCAAGGAAGCCGAGTCGCCGACGCACCCCGACCACCGCCCGCCGATGCAGTCGACCGCCACCAACCTCGTGACGTTCAAGCACATTCGACTTGGCACGATCTTGGTGCTTCTCACGTACAAGAGTGCGCTCGTCGACACGACCGTGTATATATCATCTGATCGAGTGATGGAATGGCAGGCGGCAAGGCGACGGGCGGCGCGGTCATGCTGCCACAGCACTTGGAAGAAATGCGCGGATTTGAACTCAAGCTGCACTCGCTCGTGTACACAGACAAGACGTGCACGGTGTCGGACTTGGTACTGCGCGTGCGGCGGGACATTTTGCTCGACGTGCTGAGCCAAGTGGGCCGCAACTTTAACAATATCGGGGTGTTTCTGAAAGAACGGCTCGACATTTCGAGGTGGGCCGGGTTCGAACTCAACAACCCGCTCAAGAGCCTCAGCATGAGTTCCGGCGTCCGCGAGTCGGACGGTCCGTCGCCTCCGTCGCCGCTCGCCAAGACGAGCGAGGTGTTTTCCCTCGAGCTCAAGCCCGAAAAGAGCGCAAACCCGATCAAGAAGGCCAAGTCGCGCTTTAGGTTTTTCCGAATGAAGAAAAAAGACAAGCGGGCCGAGATCTTGGCCGCCGAAGTGTGCGAAAAGGATGACGACGAGTAGTGTAATGGCATGTTGCGATGTGCATCTATGCAAACGTCGTCATGGGGAGATAGAACGGTTGGGAAACAACAACGTCGACAATGGTGGATTGTCAGAGTTAAAGGCCGAGGTCAGCTCCGCCAGGGTTCTTGTTGCGGCTTTCCGACCATGCCTTGGCAATCGTGCGCTTCATCTCGTCGTCGCCTTCGTCGTACATGTTCTATCGTTCGTGCCCATGAGAAGTCATGACGAGCAAGGAGACAAGACATGGGAGCGCACCTTCATCATGTCCATGATCCCGGCCGTGGGATCCGCAGAGTTGGGTTTCGCGGCGGGGGCCGACGACTTGGCCGTCAGGTTCATCCACGTGTTCTTGTCGTCGGCTTTGACCAACGTGATCGTCACGCGGTTCTTCTTGGCGACGAATTTCGACTTCTTCGGCATAATGTCCTTGTCCAGGTTGTGGCGCACCAACCGGTAATTCTTCCCATGGAGATCCTTGATCTTCAGGTCAAACCCACGGGTAGAAAAGTCGCACGTGACGTGGTCGGTCGGAAGAGACCCAACGCCGTCAATTCCTGACGTGATGTACACAGTGACCTTAGGTTTGCCGTAGCCTTCGTCGTCCCATGCAAACGTTGAAATCTCGGTGTACACTTCGTTGTTGTCATTGGACGGTGCAACTGGTGCAACAGCCGTAGGCATGACAGGTCGCGGTTGTGCTTGTTGTGCCTATGTCGGTGTTCTTCATCCCCCTGCAGTCGACATCGCTCCTCACCTTTACCAAATCCGCTTCCTTCGTCGCAAGGAGTTGTTGCAACTCGTTCTTCAATCGCTCCGACTTGACTGCCGCGACAATAGCTTTCAGTTCTTCAATGTCATCCATCAAGTAGTTGGTGCTCATGTTGCTTTCGGTGGCGATGTCAAAATGGCGTCCGAGTCGCTTCGTCGGGATTTCGAATTTCGAGAAAATCCACGACGCGAATTTATCCGATTGGTTCCTTTGAATCTGGCAAAAAACTTGCATCTAGGGTGACTTCAGCCTATATTAAATCTTCACAACCTAAAGAAAGCAAAAGTCACCACACGTTGACCTAATCTAATTGACCTCCCCATATTTAACCTTGAAGTGCCGATTCGTGCAGCCTACTTTAGGTAAACTGCTCGGCCAACTGTCGACGAAGGCCCGTCGTCATTTTCGACGTCACACGCACGGTCGAAGCAAGATGAACCCTCCGCTGGTGACGGTGGCCACGTGCAACTTGAATCAATGGGCGCTGGACTTTGACGGCAACTTGGCTCGTATCGAGCAGTCGATCCGCATCGCGAAGGAGCGAGGTGCTACGTACCGTCTCGGCCCAGAGCTCGAAATCTGTGGCTACGGGTGCGAGGACCACTTTCTCGAGGTGGACACGTTTTACCATTGCTGGGAAAGCTTGGCGTCGTTGCTCCAGAGCGACGCGACGGACAACATCCTTTGCGACATCGGTATGCCTGTCATGCACCTGGGCGTGCGGTACAACTGCCGAGTGTTTTGCTTGGACCGCAAGATCGTGTTCATCCGGCCCAAGCTATACTTGGCAGACGACGGCAACTACCGCGAAAAGCGCTGGTTTGTTCTTGTCGATGACGCAGTGCCATTTACACGCCGTCGTAGGTTCACGACGTGGAAGATCCACTCTGACCCGGCGTTGAACCTCCAAACCCACATGCTGCCTCCGCTCATCCAGCAGTTGACGGGGCAAGTCGAAGTGCCGTTTGGAATTGGCGCGATCGCCGCGCGTGATTCGGTACGTACATCGTTTAAAAGCATCCGCCTGACAAGTTGTAGGTGATATCGTCGGAAACATGCGAAGAACTGTTCACGCCAGACTCGCCGCACATCGCGCTGGCGTTGGGCGGCGTGGAAATCATTGGGAACGGGTCGGGGTCGCACCACCAACTTCGAAAGTTGGAGCACCGCATCGACTTGATCCGCGGCGCGTCGGCGAAAGGTACGTCGTCGAGTCGGCCATACGCTCCTCCTTCGGTTTCCATGTGCAGCCGGCGGAGTCTACTTGTACGCCAACCAGCAAGGGTGCGACGGCGGTCGGCTGTACTACGATGGGTGTGCGCTGATCGTGGTCAATGGCCACATCGTTGCGCAAGGATCGCAGTTCTCTGTCGTGGACGTTGAAGTGATCACGGCAGTGGTCGACCTCGACGACGTCCGGTCGTACCGCGGGGCCGTGAGCTCCCGCAGCGAACAAGCGAGTTCGCTCGACCACCGCAGCTTATCTCGCGTCGACTTGCCCTTCCACCTGTCGACAAAGAATGGGTTCCATCTCCAAACAACCCCGCGCATCTCTGCGAGAATCCACACTCCCGAGGAAGAGATTGCGTTGGGACCAGCCTGCTGGTTATGGGACTACCTCCGTCGAAGCAAAGCCAAGGGGTGTGTGTGCGCCCAGTGTGATAATCTCTCGGAGTGGTGGGTCGTAGGTTTTTCCTGCCGCTGTCGGGCGGTGCCGACAGCGCGTCCGTGGCGGCGATCGTCGGCGTCATGTGCCACCTTGCGACCGCCGCCGCCAATGCCGGCGACGTCCAGGTCCAAAACGACATTCAATACCTGTTGTCCGTCGAAGGTACGACCCCACACCACCGTCGAGTGATGTGGAATCCGCCACGGTAGGCAGGCCATACGTCCCGTTGACGGCGGCGGAACTGGCCAACTCGGTGCTCCACACGACGTACATGGGGACGGAGAACAGCTCGGCGGCAACCAAGAACCGCGCGACGCACTTGGCCGCCGAAATCGGGAGTTATCACTTGAATATGACGATCGACACGATGGTGTCGGCCGTCGTGTCGACGTTTGCCCTCTTGGTTGGGAAAACACCCAAGTTTGGCGTCCATGGGGGCACGCCGTCCGAGGATCTTGCGCTTCAGAACATCCAGGCACGTCTCCGCATGGTCATGGCGTACCTCCTGGCACAGTTGCTGCCGTGGGTCCGGTCTCGATCGGGCTTCTTGCTCGTTCTGGGCTCGGCCAACGTCGACGAAGCCTTGCGAGGGTACATGACCAAGTACGACTGCAGCAGTGCCGATTTAAACCCCATTGGTGCCGTTTCCAAAACGGACTTGAAGCGTTTGCTCAAGTACGCTGCGGTCAAGTACTCGTATCCCACGTTGGCGGAGATCGTGGCGGCGCCTCCGACCGCGGAACTGCGACCCACGAGTGGCGAGGGCGAGCACACCCAAGTCGACGAAGAAGATATGGGCATGACGTACGTGCTCATGGCCGTGTTGGTTGGAATGTTGAACGTGGAGGCTTGGTGTAGGTACGACGAATTGAGTTGGTTTGGTCGATTGCGCAAGATTGATCGATGCGGACCGTTGTGGATGTTCCGCAAGCTCGGAGGCATCTGGACGAACTTATCCCCGCTCGAAATCGCGGCAAAAGTGAAGCGTTTCTTCTTCTACTACGGGATTAATCGCCACAAGATGACGACTCTGACGCCGTCGTACCATGCCGAGAACTACTCGCCTGACGACAACCGGTACGCCTCCAACTCTCCACGTAGCGTGTCGGGATGTTCATCGTGTCTCTCCCGTAGGTTTGACTTGCGCCCGTTCCTGTACAACTCCAAGTGGACCCGGCAATTCCATGCCATCGATGCCCTCGCCAGCGAGATGGACCTGCCCAAGGAAAAAAAGGAATAGCGGCATCAATTCAAATTGGAACCTCTCTGTTTCAATAACTCGTTTAATAGAGTTTTGGGGTATCACTTGCAAAAGGGCTGCCTGTCGTGTAGTATGGAGAACGACGAGTTGACACCGCCGACGTCCGCAACGACGCCAAGCGCATTTCGAGCATGGGTGGAACAAGAAGCTCTCATGATCATTGGTGGACTGGCAGCCACGGGGGTCATCAGCGGCGGGTTTGTCATGGGTCTGCAACGCAGGAAAGCCCGCGAACTCCATGAACTGGAGCGTGAACGATTGCGCAAGAAGGGCTCGAAGTTCGTACTAGCGGAGCCAGTTGCGCGGAAGAAGCTCCCAACGAGTATCACGTGGTGGGAGCGAGCGATTGGCGTGAAGTCGACGCAAATGTCACCTGGTGCTGCCGCCCGAAGCGCCCTCCTTGGCGGGACGATCTTAGCTACAGCCGGGACTGGAGTCATCGTACTTGGCATTGCAGCGGCAACTGGGGTGTCGAGCTTCAGCGATTTCCATGCTAAGATGAGTGTCGTCGTGCCTCGTTTCCGCAAAAACGTGGCCAACTTCTTTGGCATTGTGCCTAAGGAAGGACCGTCCTTGGAGCAACTCGAACAGGAGCGCCAAGACATGGCTCTCCTCGCCACCCTATTCTCGGACGACGACCAGCAGGGTTGACCATGGTTGAATTCAACTTATCCTTGTCTGCATGAGATCTGGTCGCATGCGAGAAGGTGAACGTCTACTTGGTGTTAGACACGGCGGAAGAAGAGACCGTTGTTTTGAGTGACGCCGCGCGCTTGGTCGACGTCCCGCATGCGGAAAAAGTTGGCCTTCGACAGGGCTTCCGCCCCCGCCTTGGACTTGGCGTTCGACTCGGCAAACCCTTCCATGTCGACATTGTGTCTCTCGACGACCTTCGAGTCGGCGCGCTTGTGGGCGTCGCTCTCGCGGCCTTGGCTCGCTGCATGGAGTGCGTCCGCCTTGTTGAGCGCATCCACCGACTGCTTGGCGGTGTTGAACCCGGACGGAGGAATGGCGTCGGCGGCGTACAACCCTCCCCCGCACTTGCTGCCCCAGCACTCCAAGTCGTCCAACCGGCGGCCAAAGAACACGGCGCCCTTGGCAATTTGGTTGGCGTCGTACTTTTGGACCGCGTTCTTCTTGGCGATGGCGTCGGAAAAGCCTCGGTCGTTCGCGACCGCGCTCGCTTTGTTTTTGGTAAACACCACGTCTTCACGCAAGCCTTGGTTGCCGGCGCTGCTGGCGACGTGGTTGGAAAAGTGGTTGGTCGCCAACTCTTCCTCGTTGACCTTGTCGGCCGCGTTTGCGTTGGCCTTGACGAAATACGCCGTGCCAGGAGGACCGACGGGAAACCCGACCACGGTCGGGCTTTCTTGGCTGGCCGACACGTACAAGGCCATGAAAGCGACGATACCAACGACGGTCGAGTGCATGGAGAAGGAGGCGAACACCGCGCAAAAGGTCGAATGGGACACACCTTCCACGCTGTCGAACGAGATGTCGCTGGTCGACAAGAGAACGGGTCGTGCCTCGGCTCTGCGTGGCTCGTTTATGACCCGCTGTGTCGTCGTGGGCGGGACTCTCGACGGCGTGAACCTCCATGCGAGTATGCGGCTTTGCATGTCCCACGGACGTCGACCCATCCGCCAAGCACGGGATCTCGTCTTGGATCCACTGGACGCACCAAGGAGCTGCCCATTCGAGAGTATAAAGGAAGGCTCTGTCCTATGGGGCGCCGCCCGGAAGACGCGTCGTCATGATCGTGTGCAGGAGGCAGTCGCCTTGAATGCAAGAATCATGGTCAAGGCAAAGGTAACGATGGTGGCCCAAGCACAAAATGATGCATGTATACGTGCTGGCTTATCGCCGATATGACGACGGAGGGTAGTCGCGGGGTCGGGACCTGCTCCGCGACGGGGGGCGCCGACGGTCGCGGCTGCGCGACCGTTCGCGGGAACGGTCCCGCGACCGACCTCGTGGCGGAGGGGGGCCACGTTCGCGGCTACGAGGACGATCGTATCGGTCGCTCCCACCGGACGGGCCGTACGCGGACGGACGCGACGGCGGAGGAGGATCGCGTCCACGGGATCGACTTCGCCCTCGCGCACGGTCGTCCGACCGGTGCATCGTGATGGATCGAATCGATTCCCTGCAACACAGCACGTGACGAGGACAGGATGTCGCAGAAGACACATACCGGCCAGAGTACTTGACATTGACGTCAGCGCCGCCGCGACGAGTGTCACCAATGCCACCCCCGAGTTTGCGGGGCTTCCAGTCTCGGACAGTGCGACCGCGCTCGACGTCCACCACCACACGACGGCCGTCGATCTTCTTGCCGTCGGCGTTCTTGTATGCGGCCTTCATAGCGCCCTCGTCCTTGTACTCCACAAACGCATACCCGCGGCACTTGCCGTCGTCGTCCTCGACAAGGCGAAGGTTCACGATATCCCCGTAGCGTTCAAATTCACGACGCAATTGCTTTTCCGTGGTCTCGTAGCTGATGCGGCCGACAAACAGCGTCTTGTATGCATCTTCTGTCTTTTGTTTCGAGCTGGGAGCTTGAGGGTCCCCTACGTGATGGTTCATTCATCAGCCTCCCGTGAGCGACTTGACGTTCGAAGCGAACATGCTGCGATGTTCTCGGCGAGCTTCTTTTGGTAGATCGCAAGCTTCTCTTGACGGACTCGATCTTGCCGCTGCCGAGGCGTTTCCGACACATGACGGACGGGTGGGGTTGTACTTTCAAACTACCGCAGACATCATGCTCTGAGTGAGCGTCACGAACATGGGTACCTCTGGCAACGAGTCCGAAATGCCTGTGTAGGGTGGCATTTTTCGCTTCACGGGTGGTGCAATGTACTCAATAGGCGGGCGCGGCTCGAACAGAACTTTCATGTGCAGAGGTAGATGCGTGATGGCAGGCCCCATGCCGCTAGAGGACATTTGTCCCTTTGGCGTGGCCTTGCGCACGCGAGCCGTGGGGGCACCGCCGCCGCCGCTTCCTCCAGCTCCACCACCGTCCATTACTCCTGCACCAAATCCAACACTCCCGAGCCCCTTGTTTGGAGAAACCCGTTTAAATGGATATTTGAAAAATCAATTTTGGCAGTTTTCCACAAAAAATCCTCAAAACGGAACTGCCGTCGGCGGCGCGATGCAGCCGATCCATGCCGTCGTGACGATCGATGTAGGTCGATTCTTAACGCAGGTGGCGCGTGCAGCTATGGAAGGGCGCGGCTGAAGACGCTCCGGATTTCTTCGTATGTGTAGAACAGCACCGCGTTGGCTGGAATCGCGCGGAACACTGTAGGACAGAGTCCTCGGTAGAACCCTTTGACGCCGTGGAGGGCATATACTTCGTTGACGACGTCCATGCTGCGCCGATGCGTTGGAGACGTTTGAACTAGCGACTTGACTGTGTCTGCTGGGTAAAACGCCCCATTGTACGCAATGCCACTCAACGCGCCAGCAGCAATAACATCCCAGTCCAACTTTTCATCCTTTCCGTGCCGAAGGTAGTCCAAGGTCGCGTGGTACGTGGCAAACCACGCGGCGGTACCGGGGATCTCGCGCCACATCGTGGGAACAATTCCTTTGACTAAAATGAAGCCCATCAGGATAGAGCCTGCCTCGTCGACGTACAAAGGCCGCGGAGACCGTCGCGTTGAAACGACTGAGCAATGCAATCGCCCGTATTGGCATACCGCGACTTGGTCGTGACTTGCATTCTACATTTGATAAGCTCGATCGGTGTAAGGATGAACGAAATTGCACAGCCCGAGACACCGCCAGCTGCGGCGATTTCCCGTGTCGTGAGCGGTTCGATCCGAGGTCCAAAGAGAACAGTCTTGACTTGTCCAAATGTGGCAAAGAGGCACGCTGTTTCAACCATCGTGCCAACGAGTGGCATGGGCAGCCCGCGGTACAGCACTGCTGGCCCTTCACGTTGCACAAGCGACAGGATTTGATGGAACGCACTTACGCTCCTTCCACTGCCTCCACGCGGCGCTTGCGTTTGAAGTTGGACCTATTCCGAAGAGATAGTGAGACTTGCATGAACATGAGCGAATGAAGTACCTTGACTGTGTCTAAAGGGAACTCCACAAACTTAGCGCAAAAGCCGCCAAGCGACCCCGCGACGAAGTCGATGGCAGGCTCGCGCCACCGCGGCTTGGTCGTTGTCGTGACTGTAGCAGGAGAGTAAAGTTAGCACACCCTACATCAGCTACTGCGTCCAGGACGATGCACCTTGGTCCAGCATGTCTACCGCCTACGCCTTAGGGTGAACCATGCGGCAACGGTGGAATTCAGTTGAAAAGCGTTGATCATCCGGATACCGTTTCCATCCATCCAACTACTGTAGTATCTGGATGATTTTCCCAACCTTGAAAATATCGCAATGATATGGTAAATTTTAGAACTTCATTTTGCTAATCTAATATATATACTGTACTTCAAGTATATCGCAAATTGCTTTTTTTCATACCTTTCGTGAGTCCTCGTCAACTGGAATGGACGACCGCATCGACCAGTTCTGGGAAGCAGCCAAGGCGATTGCGCTGCCAGCAGGCCCGAAGAACAAGTGGAAGCAAGAAGTGTCAAAGCTCCGCCGCGTTCTTCATCGCAACCAAAACCTTCGTCTGTCAGAGCTGCCTCAACAACGACTCGTGGACACCATCCGCATCTACACAAGCCACTTCGCCGCCGAGGACGAAACGCTCCTGCTTGTAAAGGATGCACTAGCGATGCCATTCGGCGTGTTTGGCGCGAAACACAAAAAGACACTGCTCAAGATGCACGAGCAGCTCCTGGGGCTTAGCGAACACCAAGCCGACGACGGGCCTATGCCTGTGGCTATATGGTATAGTTGTGTCAGCATGGACGGTGACGGATACCTCAGTCTCCTGAACGACGAAACAGGCGACATGTTAGAAACGATTCAAGTAGTGAAGAAGACGCCCGAGTGGAGGACCATCAAGAAACACGTTGACGAAGGCATGATTCGGGTAAAAGTGGTGGAAGGCAATGTTGTGGACGTCGAGGTCGATGGCAACGACGAGTTATAATGGCACGATTCATCTAACAACGCTTGCATTCATGAAGCTGTCGATGAATCAAAACAGAACGCTTCTTCGCGCGAATATTGACAGGCCGTGCAGGTCTTGCCACGCAGAGCCGAGGCACGACCCGTTCTCTGGTCGACCAGCGACATCTCGTTCGACAGCGTGGAAGGTGTGTCCCATTCGACTTTTTGCGCGGTGTTCGCCTCCTTCTCCATGCATCACTCGACTGTCGTTGGTATCGTCGCTTTCATGGCCTTGTACGTGTCGGCCAGCCAAGAAAGCCCGACCGTGGTCGGGTTTCCCGTCGGTCCTCCTGGCACGGTGTATTTCGTCAAGGCCAACGCAAACGCGGCCGACAAGGTCAACGAGGAAGAATTGGCGACCAACCACTTTTCCAACCACGTCGCCAGCAGCGCCGGCAACCAAGGCTTGCGTGAAGACGTGGTGTTTACCAAAAACAAAGCGAGCGCGGTCGCGAACGACCGAGGCTTTTCCGACGCCATCGCCAAGAAGAACGCGGTCCAAAAGTACGACGCCAACCAAATTGCCAAGGGCGCCGTGTTCTTTGGCCGCCGGTTGGACGACTTGGAGTGCTGGGGCAACAAGTGCGGGGGAGGGTTGTACGCCGCCGACGCCATTCCTCCGTCCGGGTTCAACACCGCCAAGCAGTCGGTGGATGCGCTCAACAAGGCGGACGCACTCCATGCAGCGAGCCAAGGCCGCGAGAGCGACGCCCACAAGCGCGCCGACTCGAAGGTCGTCGAGAGACACAATGTCGACATGGAAGGGTTTGCCGAGTCGAACGCCAAGTCCAAGGCGGGGGCGGAAGCCCTGTCGAAGGCCAACTTTTTCCGCATGCGGGACGTCGACCAAGCGCGCGGCGTCACTCAAAACAACGGTCTCTTCTTCCGCCGTGTCTAACACCAAGTAGACGTTCACCTTCTCGCATGCGACCAGATCTCATGCAGACAAGGATAAGTTGAATTCAACCATGGTCAACCCTGCTGGTCGTCGTCCGAGAATAGGGTGGCGAGGAGAGCCATGTCTTGGCGCTCCTGTTCGAGTTGCTCCAAGGTCGGTCCTTCCTTAGGCTCAATGTCAAAGACGTTGGCCTCGATATGAGTGGCATCTCCAGATAGCGAGTTGCAGTTAGCCCCCACATGTTAGAGCAGAGGGAAGCCAGCAGCGCGTGCGAAGATGGATGCAATGGAAGATGGGCATGAGTTGGGGGAGTAAGCTGTCAAATGATGTCTGTGGCCATGCGACTGGACACATGCACACACGTGGCAGAGACGTTCGTGGGTTTGCGTTAAGACACTTACAGGGTGGCGTTTTCCAGGATGACCGCAATACCTTGGCCGCCGCCAATGCATGCGGCACCAACGGCATATCGCTTCTTGGTGCGAATCAAAGCATGGGTCAAGTGGGCCGTGATGCGACTGCCGGAAGCTCCCAAAGGATGGCCGAGAGCGATGGCGCCGCCGTGCACGTTCGAGATGTCCGGGTTCGCCCCAAGTTCCTTGATACAACTGAGGTATTGGGCACCAAAGGCTTCGTTGATTTCGATCAAGTCGATGTCGTCAAGGGACAAATTGGCGCGCTTGAGAGCATCTTGGATTGCTGGCACGGGCCCTATCCCCATGATAGACGGATCGACCCCCACAACGCTGTACGACACAATGCGGGCCAAAGGAGCGGCATGCTTCAACGCCGCCTCGGACGCCAGAATGATCGACCCAGCTCCATCCGCTATACCAGAGGCATTTCCAGCCGTCACCACACCGTCGTCCTTGAACACTGTCTTCAATTTGTTTAGCTTTTCCAGGGTTGTTTGGCGCGGGTGTTCGTCAGCTGCAAATGCCTCAATCTTCCCCTTCACCTTGACGTCAATTGGGGCGAGTTCATCGTTGAAAACACCAGCAGCATGGGCTTTCGCCCACAAAGTTTGGCTTCGCAGAGCTACTTCGTCACATTCAGCACGAGTCACACCAACCTTGGCGGCCAAGTTCTCGGCAGTGATCCCCATGGGGCTCTTTGCGTACGAGTCCGTCAGCGCCGACCACAACGAGTCTTGAAGCTGGAGACCCGACCCGAGGCCGACACCGAAGCGCGATTTGTCGCCATACGATACCAACGGTGCTTGGGACATGTTTTCGGTCCCTCCCGCGACCGCAATCGACGCTTCACCAAGCTTGATTTCATGGATGCAGTTGATGAGACTCTGGAACCCCGATCCGCACAAACGGTTAATCGTGAGGGCAGGCTTTTCAATTGGAATGCCGCTCTTCAAGAGTACATGACGGGCCAGGTAGGCAGCATCCGACGACGTTTGAGCGACGTTACCAACAATGACGGTGTCCACGAGGCCAGGGTCCAACTTCGCGGCCTGCAGTGCTGCCTTCGTTGCATGGACAGCAAGGTCAGTCGCAGAGACGGACTTGAGCTTGCCACCAAAGGCGCCGAAGGGGGTGCGCTTCGCGGCGACGACGAACACTTGCGTCATGGTGCGGCGAATTGCGAAAATGATGGATGTCCGCCGACAATTTGCAGGACGGACGGTGCTACGTCAACAAGATCGTCCGGATAGCATACAAACTTCAAGACAGATGCAAGTTGATTATCCGGACTGCATTATACGGGTGGATGGTGTTATCCGGAAGCTAGATTGAAGGTGAGAGTTTCAAAAACTTTAAGCGCATTGCACGGGTGAAGTGGAAGAAGTCGATGCGGCAAGGCATGGAGAAGCGATCGCGTTCAAAGGGATATGGAGCATGGCTCCACGACAGCAACTTGTGCCATCGCGCTCGCGTCACTCCATCAACGGGACGGCTTGTAGCAAGAACGGGTCCATTGATGAGTCGCGAGTGCCGCACGGGTCGATTGTGTACAACCTCCACGACTTTATGTCGAACAAGTACAGCGTCCGGTGAAGCTCGATGCTGAGGATGCCCATCATGGCGGCTGTGGCCTTGTCCATGTAGGTGACGCCGTTGTACTGCCAGTTGGCAAAATGCAGACTGTGGGTCGCCACCGCATGAAGAAAGGGCGAGATGCATTTTGGTGACTGGAGGTCGTTTCTGCCGACGGAACATCGACGCTCAAGGTAGTAGCAGAGAATGCACGACACAGAAGAGATACCAACCAACTGGAGGCAACGCGATACGTTCCCAAAATACACTGTGCCAGCTTTGCACACAACTTGGAAGTCCACCGCTTCCACACTGCACACCCTCTCCACGGAAACCTCATGTTGCACGGGCCACAACATGCTGACGACGAAAGTGACAAACCAGACCATGTTGCTGCTCTTGGATGCATAGGCGGTATAGTGAAGCGTCAAGGGGGAGCAAAGGTCGTTGAGGATATACACGAGCCAGCAAGCTTCGCCCGACGTCATGAACGTTGTCAGCCAGTACCGACGTGGCGATACAAAGTACGACACGATTCCACTTGGAGATTGAACGAGCACAAGACTGGGGGTTGACAGCAGAGTCACGGCCACGACACCTCGAAGAAGAATGAGCGGGCGGCCGACCCACACCAATCCAGCAACACGATTGACTTTCACCATATTCCAACCTTCGACGTAACCACGGACCGCAATGAAGTAGCACATGAGGCAGCAACCCACCAAGAGGAGGACAAACGTGACGTACTGGATGGCGCATCGCACATAAAACGACACGGACGTTGGTATTTCCATGCCATTCACCGTCTCCACAATAGGGAGTACCATTCCAGACATGGTTGTCAAACGACCATGCTCCCCAACAAACGTCACCACTTCTCGTACTTGCTCAACCCAATCAAAGAGGTACAGCCAAGCAAAGAATTCGAACTCGGGCTCGTTGGGATCAAACAGCATGGCTGGGGCAACGTCAACGGCCATCGGGTTTACCATTTGTCGAGCAAATTGGAAGAGTGCGATTCCCAACGTGTCCCGGACATCTTCAATGGCGGCGCGAACAAGACTCTTGATCGACGCAATAGGCGGAGTGAATCGACTCAGCACTGTCAGCGACAGCTTGCAGCTGTCTCGAAATCGTTTCTCGCAGTCACAAATTGCTTTGACATTGGAAGTCGAGTTCAACCCTGTTGCGATAGCTGACATGACCATATTGGTTCCTGACGGGTTTATAGTGCCCAAGAGATTCGAGTTGCAACGGCCAAGGATCGTGAAGAACTCGTTCACGTCGCTCCCCGTGTTCAAGTTTCGAGGGTCGTACTCGCACATGATGTTGCCACCAATAAGTTGTCTCGAACTCCATGCCTTCATTTGCGGGGCAAAGTTTTGAGTCTTGAACAGCACCGTGGCGTTTTCTAAAGCCGTGGCATTCGAGCGCCAGAACAGCGCCACCTCTTCCGTCAAGTTTCGATAGAGTAGTCGAAGCGATGTCGGACACGCCACCCGAATCATGTCGATCGATCCAAAAGGCCCCAGCATGCCTCGCACGGCGCTGAGAGCTGGTCCAAGTGGAATGTAAAGCGCTTGGAATTCAGGTAAAAGCACTTCTGGAGTTTGGTTTTGAAACGCAAAATTGTGTGAGCTGCGGACGAGGGAACGCCAGCCGATGCTCGATTCGTTGGTGCATATAGCGTTGAACGTGTGGGCCAACGCCCAGTGCATTTTGTTGCTTGTTTCGCTGTCGACTTGCATGGTCGCGTTCAACTGCTTGAGTGTGAACATGTTGGTCAGGCCCAACGCGTTTCGGACCAAAAACGATTCGACGACCCCCAAGATTTTGAAATTTTGCCACTGCGTTGAAAAGTACGACACCCCGTAAGATTGCCAATATTTGACTTCGTCAGCGACCGGACCATCCCTCCTGTCAACGAGGGCCGTGGATATCCAGTCGCGCCCACTCGTGCTCGTGCGCAGCTCGTCGAAGACACCAACGTTGAGTGCATCGCCCCAACACCGAGACAGCTCACGCCAGTCTCCATTTCGCAAGAACGTTTCCAGAAACACTGCCCCATTCCCGACTTCAGCGCGACAACGTTGCTGCCTGGTTCGAGTCGGTGCCAACTCCCACGTACGACCAAAATCGACGTAGCAATGCGCTACAAAAATCCACGGAAAGTCGCAGCTGTTCATTGTACGAAGGCCACGAACAACGTTGCCAAGGGTGTTCACTTCGTCTTGGATCGCAGTGGCGTACAGTCTGGGAACGGTCGTTGTGGCTGTTGTCAGGTTGTATCGCTGTGTGCTCGTGTAGTTTGGCAAGGTGAGCGCGATGGGGGGCAAAGCTTTGGTGGTGGCCAGCTGCGACGTGAACCACGATGAAAGGTACAGCTGTGCGCCAGTGTTGTTGAACGTTGCCCACCACATATCGTTGGACATGGTGGACTCGGTCAAGAGGAGGTACACGTAGCTTCCGGCGACAGTTGAAGCCAAGTAGACCAAGCCCAACAGAGCAGTACGACGACTGGGTTTTTTTCGTGGCGGCAGATGGGGCGACGGTGGATACCGGTGAAAAGTTGGAGTTGGGAACGAGAACCCATGCGGTGTCGGAACACTGGCGAGCATGACTCCCCACAATTTGACATCAAACAGCTTGGTCGCGAGTGGAATCATGCCCGACATGATGCATGCTACGCTGTCCAAGCACTGATTGTTGTCGGCCGTGAACAAATGGCCTTGTGATGCTCCAGGGACCATCATGTGGACAGAATTGGATGGGTCGTCGTGTCTCTGTAGGCCAAGCAAGCTTGATGCGAGTTTCGACCCAACAATCGCGACGACGACTGCGATGGCGCTCACGACGCAAATCAAGACAACTCGATGCAAGCTGCCGATGGCCAACGTTCCACTTTGGCATTGTATTTCTCGTCCTGCCCGCTGCATGACACAGTTGTGCTGCAGTACGGCTCGTGATTCGTACGGAGACGAACACTCAAGAGCAACGATGACTGACCATGCCAACATGCTGCTCAGCGGCGGATACGATTTTGGCATTCCTTGTGTCAGGGGTAAGCAGATATCGACAAACACATAGTTGATCCACAAGGCTTCGTTGGCTAGCACCAAGACGTCCCAGATCGATCGTTGACCGTACGTGATTTGCGAAAAGCCTTGAATCGTAATCAATTGCTCCGTCGACGTCGAGAGTACCGTAGCCGCGGTCATGCCTCGCAGCAGCAGCAATGGACGGCCGATCCACACGGACCCAACGACACGGTTGAACTGAAACGATTGATGAGGGTCGGTCCGAAATCGAATCAAGGTCCCGAACAGGACCATGAGGGCACCAACACTGGTCAAGACAAACGTCACATAGGCTGCAAGGTACCACATGTACTTGCACGCGCTCTTGGGGACTTCAAGGGAGTTGGCTGTCATCTCAGCACTTGCCGAGTACGGCGACACGAGCGTGACACTGGCTTCGTCGCCTTCGAATGTGTATACCTCGCGAGTGCCTTGAACCCAATCGTACATACTTACCCAACCGAAAAAGTCCCACAACTCGGCTCCGTCCAACATGCTTTGAGTTAAGAGCACTTTATTCTGATTGTGCGAGGCGAACTGAATCATCGTGATGTTCATTTTGGTCAAGTGGTCGATGGCGGATGGCACGTCGGGGTTCCCGATGGACCCTCCAAGGTTGGACAGAATGGTGTCCGCCCCGTCCAACGCCGCCCCGCAACCGACCTGCGTCGTGCGGCACGTGGCACAAATGCGTCGAACAGCGTTCGAGGGAAATGCCATGGCTTGAAGCGCAAATACAGAGCTGTCCCGCCCAAGAACAACACTGTACGTGGCTGAACTGTCGCAGCTCTCGTAAAAGCCAAACGTTTCCCGCACGTATGGCTCGGGTTGGACTTTTGTGCACATGGGGTTTCCACCATAAAACTCCATGTCGTGCCACAGTGGTGGAATCGGATCCACTTGCGCGAGAGAAAAGCTGCGATAGCTCGCCATCGCCATGGCATTTTGTTGAAGACGGTCGTAATACGCACGCTGGAACTCGGCGACTTGGTCCAAGAGCACAGTTGGAACCGGCACAAAACGCAAGTCCAACGACCCGTACGGCCCAATGTAGCGACGTGTGAGTTCGATGACAGGCGATGTCATCCCACCGATCACAATGTCGTTGTCCCAGTCGATTCCGAGAGCTTCAAAGTGGTTGGACGCCCCGCGCACGAGACTACACCCGATGAACATGTTGCAGATGGACAAGTCGTTCCAAATGCCAAACGACGCCTTCAACGTGGTCCAATACGCTCCCCCTCGGGCTCGGTAAGGTACATTGCCAATCGTAATGGTCGACGCAATGCCGAGCGCGTTGACGACTGTGATGGTTTCGACAAGCCCTTGTTGAAACGCGTTGGACATTTGAGTGACCCATCTCGTCAATCCAGCGCTCGTCCAGGTGGCCGCCTCGGTCGCGACGGACGCCACTTGGTGCGTCGTCAAGTACTTCATCCATGTGTGGCCTGCGTCCGTCTTGTACAACGCGTCGAAGACCGTAAAGTTCAAGTCGAGAAAGGTCGCCGACTGGACTACGTCGGTAAATTTTGCGTTGCGCAAAATCGACTCGAGGTACACGGCGGCGTTATCGCGGTCGTTCAATTCACACCGCCGCTGTCGTTTTGCCGTGTGCGCCATCTCGAACGACCGGTTGAAGTCCACCCAGCAGTGCGGAACGGGATATAGCAAGTTGATGGCAAACGGCGTGGCTTGGAGGGCCGGGATGATTTGGTCGAGGGGAATGCTCTGAAGGAGGAACGACCGGGCCCGAGCAGGGCTCACGACAACTCGAGTGTTGGCGCCGGAATAGTCTTTTGGAATGGCCATGCTGCGGTTGAAGTCGATCAAAGTGGGGACGTACACGAGCGGAAGCTTTGCGTTGCACAGGTCGGCCAAGAACGACTGCATCCCTGTCGTGTTGAAGTTTGCCCAGTAAAAGTCGTTGGTGGTGTACTCGCCCAACGTGACTACAAAGCGCGCGCTCAACGCGAGTGTGATCGCAAGGTAGGCAAATCCACAAAAGATGCGGGCGTCTGAAAACCGGTGGGTCCTGTCGTTCCGCGACTGCGGCGATGGACGCGCAAACGTCGCCACCGGTGCAAAGAAAAAGTTGGATGCATTCGCCAACGGCTGCACGCGTGGCATCTTGGCGCCGTGGCTTCGATGCAAGCCAAGCGTGAAACGATACCGACCTATTCTTATCACCTCTCTGGTGGACCCACCCAAACAAGATGAAACTGTTGTTCGCCGTAGGCACAGCGATGACAGCCAAGCGGATCGATCCACAAAGCGGAACTTTCAACCACAGCCATCACAAGCTTCATTTGGCCAACGAGCTAAACTGCTGGCGGAGCTTTTCATAATGCGCCAGCTCTGACGCTGACACGGACGGCACGATGTGAGGCAACGCCGCGGCAAAATGGTCGTGCGTCACTTGGACCTGCAACTCGTCGGGGGACATTTTTTCGAGCACCATGGCAGTGTGCAACGGGCGGGCCGAGTACACGTCGTCTTGGTTTGCGGCTGCTAATCATGTGAAGTTAGTGGTCTTTTGACGCGACTCGATTCCTATCCGCACCAATGTACGACTCGAGTTCCGCGACGCGGTCTTTGATGGCTAACGACAGCGCCATCGAGCAGAGCGCGTAAAAGTCGGCGCCAGTGAAGTGAAGTGGGCACAATGCCACGACCTGCACATGGCGTCAATCGACACCGTATACACGTGAATCGCACACCGCATTCAAGTCGACACTGTCGGCCAAGTGAAACTTGCGCGTTAGGGCTTTCACGACCTTGAGTTGCGTCGGTTTGTCGTTGCAGATTCCCAAGTACAGCAGGCGGTCGAAGCTACCATGGCGTTTGGCATTACGTTGAATCGAATCGCCGTACCGGCCAGGTCGCAACAGCGCCGTCTCTATCAAGTCTGGCCGGTTTGTCGCTCCCACAACAAATACTTCGTTCAAGTTGCTGTCGATCTCAGTGAGTAATTGCGACACGACCCGGTCCATGACCCCTCCTACGAAGTCTTATCATGCGTGGTTCAAACGCGACGGCATCGCACCAGAATCGCTGCCCCGGCCACGCATCGGTGCCAGCGAATCCAGTTCGTCAAAAAACAAAATGCACGGTCGCGCATTTCGAGCCTACCGCGTGATGGTTATCGTTCCATGCACCGACCGACAACAGGGACCATCGTGCCATTTGAAAGACATGGCGAACGTTCTTCTCGCTCTCGCCAATGTACATGTTGAGCAGCTCGGGTCCCTTGACACTGATAAAGTTCATGTTGCACTCTGTCGCGATCGCTTTGGCCAGCAAAGTCTTTCCAGTCCCCGGGGGGCCTACGTCATCGTCCAGCGTGGGATGCATCGCCCAACTCGACGCGAAAGAGGAGTTGCACCGTAAAGCAAGATCCCTGACCGCTGGCGTACGCCCGCTGCAAAAAATTCGGGATGTTTAAAAGGCAATTGCACCTGCCATGGCAACTGAGAAAAGAGTAACTACTCAAGCGACGTACCATGTCGAGAATTTCGTCCTTCACGTGCTCGAGGCCACCGACGTCGTCCCATTTGACATTTGGAATGGAGAAGGTGCCCAGTCCCAGCGACGTTTTCGTTTGCTGGTGGTGGATGGCATGGTCAAAGTGTTCGAGACGAACTTGGGGAGAAGCCATGGAGGAAATCGAGTCTTCACCTCCTAGACCTTCCAAGCAATAGGTCGTTGCGTCGGCAATCTAATCAACAGCGTCCACTCAGGCCACGACGACGTGGCATCTCCTACCAACGCTTTCAGTTCTCCCAACGTCCGGCCCGCCGTGCGGTGAGCAATGTTTTCAAGGTGCACGTCCTAATAATGCGCTTGGATGCCCCTCCAGAGCATGCGTCGTCACGTACCGGGTGAAGTTCGACCGACGCAGTCAATTGCTTCAATATGTCGACGCGCTCGGGTTCGGATGGCGCCTCGAGAACCAACTCGTACATGAAATTTTGCCGAATCAACGCCGGCAGGTCAGATATGTCTTCGACAGCGATGACCAACGGTATGTGGTGCATGCCATGCGTCATGCAGTCGGCGAGCGTCGAGCCAAGTCGAAGTTCGGCCTCTTGGTTGTCATTCTACGCATTGTCGCCCTCGTTCAGAGGGTAAGCACCACGTACGTTTACCTGAATTTGGAAAAATCGATTTAAGAATAGGATGCACGGCGCCATCGACTGCGCTTTGGCGACTGCAGCGCGAATGTTCTCCAGCATCTGGACCTCGGACGTCGACACAAGGTCTGCAAACGCAATTTCCAGCACAAACATCCCCAAAGCTTCCGCGGCGTTGTACAGCAACATCTTTTTGCCGCTGCCCGCAACTCCGCCCAATACAATCGAAATCGGCAGGGACAACGATGTGGGATGGAGCCATTCGATGAGTTTCTGCATGTGCTGTGGGAAGATGCTCACAGACGTGGCCGGCGACGGTAGATTTGTCGTCGTGGACAGCACATATTGCCGAAGCTGACGTTCGTGCATTAATCGAGTGGACACTGGCGACGTTTGGACCAGCGTAGTTTTGTCCCTGACCACCGACAACGCCTGCGCAGTATCACAGATCTCGCCGTTTGGCATCGAGGCATGCTGGACGAGAAAGTAGATGACATCAGCATGGACGACGATGGGATCAAAGACTGGCGAGGCGTTTCCTTCGGCGGCATGGGTTTGTCGTTCGGGAAACGTTTCAATGAGAGGAACACCAAAGATATCGCCAACTTGAAGCATCCGCGGGATGGCAAAGTACGTCCGAAGGGCTGCGAGGACATGCAACTCGTGAGGACTGCTGGAAGCATTCCAAAGAATTGGCGCGATCTGTACACGAGCTGCCGTCGGTGGCAGGGCTTGCATGCGACCATAGCTTGCGTGGAAAGCAGGTGCAACAACAACGTCCGCCATCTCGACACATCGAAGATTGTGCGCGAGGAATGGACTCATGTGCACAACGTCATCGGCGGCATGCACGTGTAATTGAGCCTGGGCGACGCGAGAGGCATTTCCATTCCGAATCGACACAAGGGCATGCGACACGAGCCCCAGGCGACGCAAGTTCGCCATTGACATTGCAACGACCGCATTGGATTCACTTGGGATGATGCCGACTGTCGGGAACAGGTCCAATTGATCCAGCAAGCACATGCGCAGCGTGAGGGAATTGCTTCCAGACAGCTCGGAGTCTATTCCTTCCCATCCTCGCGCTCGCTGCGTGAACGAGCTGCACCACATTGACGATCCGAGTTGATGCAACAAAATAAAGGTATCCGGATATGCCAGCTTTGTTCCGGACTTGTTACACTGCTCGCCACATAGTTGCAGCCACCCCATTATTTCGGCAATGCGCAAAGCTAAATCAAATTTTGGACATGTTCTCTGTAGGAACCATGCCGAGTAGACATTCAAATACTTGTAAGTGACCTTTCGGAGTAATTTGCGAAGTCGACATGCAGTAAGGAAGCAAATTCAAAATTCTGTGTGCGACGAATGATTGCAGCCATCAAGAACGAAGAACGCATATTCATGTACAGTACATTGTATTCAAATCCTAGTAATCACACTTGCAGCCTTTCGCTTCGACTACTGCCAGGCATCGTCGTGGCATCGAATTGATGAGGCTTTGGAGGTAGTTGAGGGAAATTCGGGACCACGCCAACTTGATGGTACTGACAAGATCGTTATTCGTCATGTACTGCTTTCCGTTGGGTAAATCATTCTCGCAAGTAAACCCCAAACATTTTCTATGGGATTTAGGTCGGGAGATAGTGCAGGATGGTCAAACAGGTCGACGTTTTCATCCTTCAAAAACTCCAAAGTTTTCTTCGATCGATGGATAGACGCTTCATCTTGCATGAACACAAAATTTGGTCCATGAGAAAATGGAAACAAATAATTGCTCAAGGAGTCGATATACTCATCGGACCTTTGGACACCCTCCAAAATGGCCAACTCGGACACACCGGCACCAGAGAAAGCCCCCCACACCGTGACACCTCCGCCCTTGTTGGCGCGAGACATGAATGTTGATGGCTCTTTTCGTAAATCATGCCAATAGAACTGAAACCCATCTGGTCCATCGAGATTGAACCATTTCTCGTCGGACCAGATGATTTCAGCCCAATTGGGCGATTTTTCCAAATGCATCTTGGCGTACTTGAGCCTCGCCGTCTTGTGTGCCGTCTTGAGCAGAGGGGAATGCTTTCTCTTGACGTACTTCAGGAAACCAGCAGCGCAAAGTCTTCGTTGGCAAGTTCTAATTAAGCCACCGAGTTGAAGCTCCGCGTGGAGGCTTCTAGCCAACTACTCAGTGGATGAGGCGGCATGGTACAGCCGCCGACACTCTTGGTGCATGATTTTGGTGGCCTTGCGACCCATAAAATTTGTGCCGCAGTTGTCAGGTCACAAAGGAAAGCTCGGATGGTGTCCTTGGAGCGTCCAAGGTGCTTAGCAATGCACCGATATGACAATTTGTGTGCCCAAAAGGCCCTTGCAGCAGCCTGCTCTTCAATTGTCAGTTGCGGTTGACTTCACATGCTGTATGGTAAGGAAATAGTTAAAAACATAGCTTTAATGCATGGCGTACCAGCGTTTGATAAAATGTCAATGCAGTTGAGGAGTAAGGACGAAATTGTGAAGTGACCTGCAATCTACTGGCGCCTTCATGATTCTGTTTTCCCGCCAAAAGAAACGTTTGCCAAAGAGTTTGTAGGCGTGAGATATCTAAAAAAATCCCGCCAATCAACAATGAATACAGCAGTGTAGTTTGCTTTGTGGTAAAATGATTGGCGGAATTTTTCTCCCTAGGTGAATGGGGTTACAAAGCGGTGCTATCGTGCCACACCCGAGACAGCTGCCTGCAGAGTATGGATGCCGATAAGCGAGCTGAGTTTTTGTACTGTACATGGTTGCTGGAGCCAAATACGCCAGAGCCATTGTTTCATACATTTGCAAAAATATCGCTAGCTTGTCGGCATCCATCCACGACAGGCAGCTGCCGCAGATGTGATACGACAGCACCGCTTGTAGCCCGTCATAGGGTCGGAGACTTAGCAGTGCACCACACGACTGGAACTCTTCTCAATTTTCAGGGTGCATGTCGCGCAGGCAGGCAACTCCCGCGATTGGAGACCCCTGGGACGACGCACCCATCGGGTAGGTTGCAGCCTTGCGCTTCTTCAGGGGGTTGACATCGCCTGTCTGCTTCCCGCGCTTGTTTATAGAGGCCGGCAACAGCACAGCCTTAACGTCTTCTGTCGTCTAAATTCATGACTGGCGGCATGCGCTGCGTCGCGGATGCATCGCTGTGGTCATCGCCGGTGTCGTCGGCAATGACAGGCGTCTCGGACAGGCCAGCGCTGTCGAGCTTCGGTCGCGTGTACCATACTTCCGCAAGTGGATGAGCCATTGTGGCGTATTCGGCCGTCGTCTGCTATTTCAGGATCAGCTGCGATATGCCGTCATTGAAGAGCGGGGGCCCATTGATGAAGATGTGACATGCGAGTATTGCCGCATAATTCCAGAATAAGTCACAACGCCCAGGCTATTACAGCCTTCCGTCCAGTTAGGTAACCGAATCGTGACGTGTGGCTTCTTCACAAGGCGATCGTCGCTTCGAACACTCCCATACAATACCAGAATTACGGGATACATGAATGTTCAAACTTGCACGTGCGTGTGCCCCAGCACTTCCGAACTCATCCTGTGTCGCTCCCAGATGGGTAGAAGTGCGAGTTCGCGATGTGCATTCGAGAATCTGCCGCCTCCTGCGACGGTGCCAAAAGTGTACAGTCGT